AGTGTTGTAATCTGTGTGTATCTGTGCTGTACCCCCATGCCTGAGTGTGCCCATGCTCTCACACATGTACACACACACACACATGGATGTATGTACTGATGCCCATCTTGTGTGCAAGGATGCCCCGCTGCCTGCATATGTGCATGCATGTGTAAGTGGGGCACATGTTTGGAGCCACCCACCCTCCAACGAGATATTCTGGGACCCCCTTCCACCACTTCCCAGGTGTGTCCTCAACTGAAGTCGCTGCTGTTCAGCCAGCTGGTCCCCCGGGACCGTGTGTTCAGAAACCCACCTAGGGCCCTTCCCCGATGCTCACCCACCCACTTTCACTTCCTAAATGTGATGCTAAAAAACTCACTTCTCTGAAGTAAAACAACAGAAAGAAAAGACGGCACAGGACGGCCAGTGGTTTGGGAGCCTTCATGTGCTCTCTTCCCGGAGCAGGCAGGGTGCACCCTCGGCCACCCATAGGCTTGGAGCCCTCGGAGAAAGGGCTTTCCAAGGGGTCCAGGTAGACAAGTTTGGAAAGGATGAGGCCATGGGTATTAGGAAGGATGGAGGGGAAAAGGGAGGGTGGGGTGGAGAGAGGAAGGGAGGGTGGGGTGGAGAGAGGAAGGGAGGGAGGGGGGACAGAGGGGGAGGAAAGAACCAAGAAAAGCCAAAAGGGTGACTCAGAGTTACAGGGAGACCAAGAAACCCTGCAGGGTACGGGGTCACCGCTGTCGTGCTCCCATGAGCTGAGCAACCGCCAGCCCATCACACTCTCTGTAATGTGCAAATCTCTTACCATGAATACGTGTCATTTTTGTCATTAAGAAACCAAGAGGAGGAAGAAAACCATAAGCCTAGCCCCTCTCAGGCCCACCTGAGCCCACAGACCCGGCTCAGGATGGAAGTGTCAGCCTCGGGCTGCGAGGCAGGAGGATGTGGGAGGACGTGGGCGCCGGTGCTTACCGTTTTCCCGTGAGACTGGGAAGCGTGTGGAGAGGAAAGGAAAGGGGAGACGGGTCATTAGGAGGCTTGGCCCAGCCCCGCAGCCTGGGGAAGCCAGGAGCCCAGGAAGGGCATGACACTGCCTGCTGCCAAGTGCCCTGGGTTGGGGCAATAGGGACTCTCCTGCCCAAGGGCAGGGTGTCAGAGGATGGGACCTGGGAGGCCATACCTCAGCCTGGCTCTGCCCCGAGCTCGGTCAGTGGCTTCAGGTCACCACCTCTTGGGCCCCAGTTACTTTTTCGGACCTCAGGGGTGGGATGGTCACCCCCAACTGCTCTTCCAGCTTGTACATGCTGGGTCTGCACCCCACACTGTAAGCTCTGAAGGCCAGGGCTTGAATTTTTAGCACAGTGGCTCCTAGCCCACACACACAGCCCAGGGCTGCACACAGTAGGTGCTCAAGTGCTATGTGCAGAAGCCATTTGAACCGGCAGCCACAGCCCCGCCCCTGCAGCAACAGTCCCGTCCCTGCGGCCATGGCCCCGCCCCCTGCAGTCACAGCCCCACCCCTGCAGCAACAGTCCCGCCCCTGTGGCCACGGTCACGCCCTGCAGCCATGGCCCCACCCCCTGCAGCCACGGCCCCACCCCTGCAGCTCTGCACCCCAGCTGGCTAGACATCAGAGCCCTTGACAAGCCACAGCCAGGCCCAGCCACAGCCCTCCTCCTAACAGGGAGGGAAAGGGGACAGGGGAGAAAGGCCTGTTTGCTACAAGGAACAACATGGGCTGAAGTCAAGCTAGCCAAGGTCGTAACCCCAATTCCTAACAGGGGTCTTGAACAGGCCCTGTCCCCTCACTGGGGAGCTGAGATCCTGGCTGTGGGCCCCATCCAGAGCAGGCCTGCCATCAGCAGCAGTCGAATGACAGGGTGCTGACTGAGAAGGGGGCGTCCTGCAAGGTAGGAGGGTGGGACCCCACCCCGGCAAAGCTGGTCAGGATGGTGTCAGACTCCAGCTCTGTCTCACCTAGGGTCTGGGACCCAGTGTCTTTTCTCGAGGCCACCCCCATCGTCCCCTTGCCTGGTGTGGCCCAGCTTCAGGGCGGCTGTCACCACCGGGCAGTCTGGGGACCCACCTTTTTGATGTCCTTGGTGTTCATGGGGTCGTCTGTCATCTTGTGGAAGAGCAGCTCGATGATCTCCTTCAGCTCGTAGCTGTAGCCCTTCCTCTTGCAGACGATGACCACCTTGTCGAACAGGAACAAGTACCTAGCGGGGACAGCACGGCCAGGGGCCCATCAGTGCAGTCGGAGCCACCACACGGGGGCCATGCCACGCAAGGAGGGCAGCGGCCCCAGCGCCGGCCACTGTGCTCTGAGGCCACGACATTGCCAGTGCACCCAGGGCCCAGCAAGAGGGCGGCGCTCTCACCCTCTGGCACACCATTCCCTCTGCAAGGGCCAGCGCTGCCCTTTGCCTGGCTCGCCTGCCGTGCTCTGACCCCTCCGTCAGGATCAGCCTCTCCCATGCAAGTCTTCCAGGAAGCCTCGGCCCCATGGCTCCTCCACCCGCTGTGCTGGCCCTCCCCACAGCACAGACCGCTGACTGTCACTGCCTGTCTACATTCCTACCGCCCCCAGACTGCAAGACCCAAGGGGGCAGGACCTGCATTTGCTGTGACCCTGGCCATGACCACAGCCCCTTGCACACAGTAGAGGTGCACGATGACTCTGAACAAGTGGGACCCACCAGCTCGTCCCCAGCCTTCCCCGTCACCCGCCCACACACTCCCAGGTTGTCGGGCAGAAAGCTCATCCGGTCCCTCCAGGTCCTCTCAGCTCCTGGAGACCATGAGCTCGCAGGACGGGGCCCGGCTCCTGCCTCTGGCTCTGGCTGTCCCCCGCCTGGCCCAGCGCCCGCCACAGGCAGGGCACCCGCGGTTGTGGCGGCCGCTCCCTGACGTGTCCGCCAACGCTCGCCGAGAAGGAAGGAAGCAATTAAGACCCAACAGCACAAAGCCAACCGGGCAGGCAGCTCTTTCCGCAGGAAGGCCCTGTTTCCAGAGCCATTTGGGAGCGGGGTTCCCTCCAACGGAGTGCCAGACTATTATGGGATGCCACCGCACCCCCGAGTCACCCGCCCCGCTCACCTGTCCTGCTTGGTGTGGTTGACTATGGACCTGACCTTCAGCTCCCCATCAATCTTTGGCCTCCCAAACTCCTCCAGTTTCACCTGCTGGGAAAGAAAAAGACAGGCTGTTAGCCCCAGAGCTGGAGCAGCCCCGCCACTTCCTAAATGCAGAGAAAGGGAAGGCGGGCACGTGCCCAAGGGGCGTCTTCTGTGGACACAGAACCAAAGGCGGGAGCAAAGTGAAATGAACCTGGGGTTCCCAGTCAGCACTTAGCACAAAGGGTTCAGGGGTTGGGGAGCTGGGCCTGCAGCCTTCCGTGCCACTCCTCGGCCAGCCCTGCCAAGGACTCCCTCCAATTCTGGGAACAAAGAGTGATTGACGGGGTGGGCCAGTCAACAGGCCGCTGTTGTGTGGAGCCCAGAGCAGGACCCAGTAGGATAAACCAAATTAAAGTGAGCACAGACGGCTCTCATCATGGGGGCGCACGCGTCCTCCACAGGAGGGGCCCCGGTCAGACCCCGCCGTGTGCTGAGCTTTCGCTTTCGTCTTGTCGGGTCTGTAGCTCTGCCGCTCTGCTGTGATTCAGGGACAGCTTCCCCTGCTGGGTTCCCGCGTGGCTTTCAAAGACAGCGTCTACACAGACAGGAGAAGGTGGAGGGGAGGCTTCTGCACAGGAATGGGGCCGCGTTGGGGGTCCGGGCTCAGCGTCTTCTTCCAAGTGTCCTGCTCTTCCAGAAGCTGCCAAGGGCCACGACTGAGGCAGCATTGGTGGCGCACAGGCCTCCTTGTCCCCTCTCTCGAGTGCCCAGAACAGAAGCACCACCCATGTGGGCCCGGGCCGGCAGTGAGCTTTGCAGGCAGCACCCGAGTGGGCCGGCAGTGGGCTTTGCAGGTGACACCCCAGCGGGTCAGAGATGGGCTTCACAGGTGACACCCCAGTGGGCCAGAGATGGCTTCGCAGGTGACACCCCAGTGGGCCAGCGATGGACTTCGGAGGTGGCGCCCGAGCAGGCTGGGGATGGGCTTCAGGAACGCTGACACCTGCTGCCCACCACTGCTTTGTTCTTATTTAACAAGCAGGTATTACTCACACCTAAAAACTTAAGAAACAGAACACAACGAACACCTTTCCTCATGTTACAAAAGTCACGCCCGTCCCGGGGGCAGCATTTAGAAACGCCGTGTGCTGCAGCACAGCAGCACGGGACCCGCCATCCCCGACCTCTGGACTCGGACACTCTTCTTTCCTTCTAAAAAGAAAGTGACCGGGTGGTGTCATAATGCTGTTTGGCAACTTTGATTTCTTTCATCACTGACACGCCCTGGCGTCTTCTGGGCCTCGTGTGTGTGCGAGGGCCGGGGCTTCTGTCCGTGCACTTCTGGCCTCAGGTGGGTGAGGAATGTGCAGATGGATGGCAGGGTTGGCCCGGGCATCAGGAGCTTCTGCAGAGGAAGCTCCTGCGTTGATCCGTCCTTGACAGAGTTCAGGGACCAGAGTCAAAATGTTTGTGTAAAAACCAGGGGTTCTCAACCCAGGGTGATTCTGCCACCCAGGGGACATCTGGCAATTTCTGGAGATGCATATGGTTGTCATCACTTGGGGAGTGAGGCTACTGGCATCTGGTGGGTGGAGGTCAGAGATACTGCTCAACATCCCGTAATTCACAGAACAGGCCCCACAGCAAAGAATGATCCGACCCCAAATGTCAGCAGAGCTGAGACGGAGAAACCTGGGTTTTAACAACCAGCAGACCCTCAAGACGTTGGTGCTGGTTGGCACAGATTGAGAAGTGTTTGCCTCCTGGGATGGCCCATCTCCTCCCTGAGTAGGACACGGTGGCTGGCCCGATGCCCCCAGCCTGAGCCTCCGATGAAGCAGGCGAGGGAGAGGGTCCTGTGAGGTGTCAGCCCTGCCCAGAGAACCCCGAGGGGGCAGGGAGGAGCCAGGGGCAGGTCTTGGGCAGGGGCAACTGCTGGGTCCAGCCCACACTGGAACCAAACCGTCAATTGCTCCTCCTGGGGACAGCCCAGATGAAGGTAGGCCACGGGGTCCATACCCCAGGAGAAGCCTCATCCCCCCCCCCCAGGAGCCACGGCCCTCTTCTTGGACTAGAAAGAGTCTTCCATCCAGGCTGGGGAGGGAGAGTTGGGACCCAGCACTCACGCCTCCCCCCTTTGCCCTGCCCCCTTAGCAAAGGGCGGTCTTCAGTGCACCGGGCACTAGGGCTGGCTGATGTGGGCCAAGGAGCGCAGACACCGGAGCCCGTGATTGAATTCAGGAGCTGCCAGGGCACCGCCCTCTCGGCGGCAGCCTCAGCCTGGCTGGACACAGACCATTCACTCGTTCAGCACTGAGGTTGTGGAAGTAATTTTACGCACAAGCTCTTAATGCACCTGCGCGCATTTGAAGAGCTCGTCACACTTACCAAGTTCTCTATAGAACTCTGAAATTCGCTGATCTTCTTTAAGGTCTCTTTGTCTCTTTTAACTTCATTTATGTACATTGCCAAGTCCTTGAAGACAACAGAGGCGCAGTTAGTGGCCCATGCTGGGCGGGTGCGAGGGAGCTCAGCCCCCAGACTCCACCCACCCACCCGTGTCCAGGGGCTGGCCATTCTCAGAGCCCCTTCCTCTGTCCTGCAGGGGTGGCCGACCCTCGAGACAGTAAAGCCACAAGACAAACAAGGAAACTAAGGCAGGGAAGGGACACACGCACAGGCCTAAAGCTGTGCCCTCGGTGGTGGTGATGTAAGAACCCCAACCCCCGGCTCCTGGCACAGCTCCACCCCACCCATTAAGAGACCCTTCTTCCAAGCAGACTGGAAGGAAACAACCCCGTGTGTAAGAGCCACACCAGGCCACAAAATAGCGACTAGACTTGGACCGACCCATGTCTTCATTCTTGGGAAACCCCCCCAACAAGCCTCTGCCTGGTTTCGGAGCCTGGGCAGAAGAGGGGTCACTAAGTTTCTTCTACACGGGTCCAGAAGCCCCCACTTTCCAGCCTGGTGCCCATCCACTGGCTGCAACCCTCCTGCTGGCCACCAAGGGGCAGTGCCCACTTCGATCCAGAAAGTTTGCAGAGTTGCTGCACAGGGCACCCAGCACCTGGGAGAGCTGGCCATGCAGGCACCGACCCTTCCCACCAGGAGCAGCAGCGTGGAAATCCCCAAAACACAAATGGCGGGGCTGGAGCCAGCCCAGGTCCTGGAGCCCATCCCCACCTCCCTCCTGCCCTTTCTTGTTCTCTGCGAGATCTCACTCTCCACACCCTCAGCACCCGCTCCCAGCAGGACTGACCCTCCCGAAGGGGGCACGCCTTCTGTAAAGGGTGTTTTGTCCTCCTGTCCACTTGCCCTTAAAATGAGAAACTCCCAGAGACAAGGAACCCAGGGGCAGGACAGAACCTGCGAACCTGAGGCAGACACTGCTACGAGACAGGGGCCCTAGCAAGCTGTCTAACCACGCGCGCCTGTGCGTGGCACAAAACAGGAGCAAGTGGACGTGGGCTGAATGAGTGAGCGGGTGAGGGGACACCTGTGCTGTGATACACAGGAGGGACTGTCATCAGTTTACGGAGCTCACACCCACGAACTCGGCTCCCGTGGAGACAGATCTGAAGTCCACAGGCACAGCAGCAGCTACAGCAGCCCTCCCGCTCACAGGGACTGAGCTGTCCATCTCTAGGGAAACCCAAGCTCAAGTACAGTGACAACTGACACGGTGGCTGCATGGCTGATTTCCTACATGGCAGGGCACGCCTGGGAGTCACAGAGTTTTGAGGAGCACCATGAGCTACACTCTTGAGGGACCCAGGGCCACACACGGGCCAGGGACTGAGCGCTGGGACTGTGAATCTCAGGGCCACGCTCGGGCCCAGGGCGCACAGCCCACGGACCCGCTGATGCTGACTCAAGGCCCACAGAGAACAGCTCTCGGGGCTGCCAGTGGAGCTGAGTGGCAGGGAACCAAAAGGTCTCTGTGGCCAGCTCCTGTGCCCACGTGCGAGTGCTCACACGGTGGGAGTAAATTAGTCCCAGAGCGGGGGCTCGCTCGGAGAGCCTCTCAGCAGGGAGGCGGAGCGGCCGGGTCCCCCTCCGCTACCCTGGGTCCGAATGGCAGCTGCTGACAGAGACAGGCTGCGACCCCCTCCCCAACAGGAAGGAGCTCTCTACAGGAGATATCTTGGGAAGGAAAAAAGGTGGCCTGAAGCCCAGGGAGCTGCTGAGGGGGCAGACGCCAGGTGTCACAGGTCAGGGCTGCAGCCCTGCGGAAGGGCTAGCAGAGGTGTCCTGTGCCCCCAATCGGGGAAATGCTGGGGGAGTCACCCTCCCTTCACCCAGCTGCAGAGCCCAGGGACCTACCACATGCGGGGCACTATGCCGGCCTGGGGACACAGGTGACGTGACTAACCCAGGCCTGGCTGGGGAGGGCCTGGTATGAACAAATCTGTCCAGGGAAGAGAGTCTCACCCAAGGGGAAGCCAGTTCCTGGGGGGAAGAACCCAGTGTGGGGCTGCCAAGACTGTTTGGTCACTGCCAAGACTGGGCTGAGCAGGACGGAGCAGGCGGCAAGGAGCAGGACACAGCCTGAGCAAGCACCCAGAGGTGGGGAGTGCAGGCGCATTCAGGAGCCCGGCAGTGCCATGCTCGCTTGGAATTTGGGGCGTTTGTGGTAAACACAGCTGCAAGGTCAGGTGCAGATGCCTGTGGAAGGCCCTGAGGGCCAGCACGAAGAGCCCATCCTGATGCAGTGGGCAGTGGGAGCCACAGAAGGTTTCTGAGCAGGGGAAGGATGTGAGCTGAGCTCACCCACACAGTGGGTTTTCACAGACGGTGGGTAGGCGACTGGCTGGGAGCCCTCAAAACAGTCGGGGGCAAAGGAACCATCCAGGCAGGTGGCAGCAGGAACGGGCCAGGGATGGGCCTTCCAGCCACAGGATCTTCAGGCTGGGCAGGGCCAGTGCAGGGCCACACAGCCCAGAATTGAGCCCAATGCCTTGAGACCAGTGACGGCCCTGGCAGACAGTTGGGAAAGCAGAAGGAGGGGAGGCTCTGGGCAGTCACTGTGGGCCAGGTGAGGTCAGGGATCAGGACACTGGGGCAAGCACCTGCCCGCAGCTCTCTCTGCCACCGCCTCTCCCCTCCCAGGGGTCTCACTCCTGCCCTGACCCTGCCCTGCCTCCTGCCATCCCAGGAAAGTGTCTATGGTCATAATCACAGCTGGTTAGTGAGCCCAATTCAAGTCCAAGAAGGTAGGCATGGTGTGTTAAGCACCACACTGGCCTCTCCCCTGCCTCAGTTTACCCACCCACCTGCATGGCTTCCAGCGCTTCCTTGAGCTGCTGCCTCTCGGGCCGGTCAGTAGAATGGCTCAGAAGTTCCTGGAAGGGAGAGAGGGGAATTCTGTGTTACCACTCAGGGCTCCCAGCCTCTGCCCTGATGGCTACCAGGTGCGGGGAAGGGTACACAGTGCGAGGTCGTCAGGACAAAGCCACCTCCTACCCCGTTGGCCCAGGCCCTGGTTCGGCTGCCCAACTCCAGTGGACAGACCCCCAGGGGACACCCCACTTCCCAGAAGGAGTTCTCCAAAACCTTGCAGAGAATGGAAGCGGGTTACAGTGGGAAGGGACATTAAGGCCACAAAAAGCACAGTGCTGCGCTCACAGACCACTGGCTGATTTGTTAAAGAGCCTTGCACGGCCCCTCTCAGAGACCAGCGTCTCCCTCCCAGGACTGCCCATGCCCAGGCCTTCCCACTTCCAGGAAGCTCAGAGACCTGGGCAGGTGCTCAGCCACAGTAGCTCTAAGTCCTTCCCTGAGGACGCTTTTCTGTCAGTTTTTCTGACCTCGTTACTGATTTTAATAATAGTTTTCCTACATATATCTCCTGTGACAGCCATTCGTAACATGCATTGAGCAGTCACTACATGCCAAGCACAGACTTTCTTATTTACTTTGCTTATTTATCTTTGACTTAATCCATCCATGGGCCCTGGGAATCCATTCCCAGGACCCTGGGAAGCTGCCAGCCCTCACTAGACTCTCTGGCAGCGACAGCCATGCGGAGCACCCAGGACCGGGGGTCTCACCTTCAAGAGCAGATGGTATTTGAGCACCCTCTGCATGGGCACCACCAGCAGGTCCTGCAGCTTGAACTTCCCATCCTGGACCTTCAGCGTGCACTCCTGGGGCATCGGGAGAAGAAGTCAATGAACAGTGTCCCTCCCTGGGGAAGGCCTGGACCCACATTCTGTCCCGCGCTGGGGAGGGGAGACCTGAGCCCGGAACTCAGGCCCAGGAACCAGCTCCCTCTCTAGGTGTCTGCAGAGGGGCGGGTGTCACAGCACACAGACACGGGGCACATCGCCTCTCACGTCCTGTGAAGTTTGCACTGGCCACACAAGAATGCAGTGGGACAGTCTAGACTTCTCAACAACCACAGCCTGGCGCCTCCTGGGCCAGGTCCCCAGAGAAGGGCAGCAGGGCCTCCCGCACTGCCTCCGGGAGGAGTGAGGCGGCGACCAGTTCATGCTAAGGTACGTGGACACTCGTGGGAATGAGTGGTCCCCAAGAGTTGCATGGATGTGCATAGACAAGGGATTCTGCACCGGCCTCCACTCTGAAAACAAGTTTACTGACCAGATAAAACACGGACATTCCAGCTGGGAACAGCCTGGCTTCCCCAACAAGGGGGACGGGGAGAGGTCTGAGGAGGGGCTCCTGTGAGAAACTCAACTAGTTGGCAAAGACCGCCCTGGGCCTGGGGTGAGGACAGGGTGAGGGGCAGGAGGCCCCACAGAGCTCAGGAAAGGTCACCTGGAGCCCCTGGGATCAGCAGAAGCCAGGGTCGGAGGTCAGCCATTGCCCATGCTGAGTCAGATTTGGTCCCGAGGCCCTGCCTCTGTGGCACCCAGGAGACTCAGGCTGTGTTCCTGTCCAGGATGGTGCCCTCCACCTGGCCCACTTCCCACCCCAGCAGACTGAGAAGGGAAAAACAGTCTACAGAAAAGCAATCACACCATTACCTGTCCCCACCTCCCCTCGAAACGGGCAAGGGAGAGGCTGGTGTCGAGCAAGCTCTGGCCAGAGAGCTGCAGCCTCGGAGTGGGGCTGGGACCAGGCCGGGGGCTGGCTGGGAAGCCCCCCATTACCTCGACTTTCTGCCTGAAGTCCTCCCGGCTGGCAAGGAGCTGGTTCAGCGTGTTCTGGGCGTGCTCCATGTGGCTGCAGTACTCCCCGTAGATCAGGAGCCTGGATGGTGCATACACACGCACACACACACACACAGTTCCACATACACACACACAGGCACGCACAGGCACAGGCACACCAGGCACATGCACACACAGATCCACATGCACACACACACAGGCACGCACAGATCGCGACGTGCACACACACAGAAGCACACGCACATACAGATCCACATGCACGCACACACACACACAGGCACGCACAGGCACAGGCACACCAGGCACATGCACACACAGATCCACATGCACACACACACAGGCACGCACAGATCCACACGTGCACACACACAGAAGCACACGCACATACAGATCCACATGCACGCACACACACACACAGGCACGCACAGGCACATGCACACACAGATCCACATGCACGCACACACACACACAGGCACGCACAGGCACATGCACACAAAGATCCACACATGCACACACACACACACACACACAGGCACGCACAGGCACAGGCACACCAGGCACATGCACACACAGATCCACACACACACACGCACACACAGGCACGCACAGGCACAGGCACACCAGGCACATGCACACACAGATCCACACACACACACGCACACACAGGCACGCACAGGCACAGGCAAACACAGGCACATGCACACACAGATCCACACACACACAGACACATGCGCACACAGAGGCATACACAAGCACATGCACGCGCGTGTACACACACACACACACACACACACACACACACGGAGGCAGGTAAATGAGACGCTCGTGGCTGCAGCCAGCCTCTGTGCTCCTCCCAGCAGGCTGTAAGTGCACAGCCAGCAGCCTCCCCCTTACAGCTCCACGCGTGTTACCACGTTGAAAGGTTTTGCTCTTTCCACATGGCTGCTTTTGGCCCCTTCCTCAGATACCACCAGGTAGGAGGAGGGCTGCCCAAATGCTGGGAAAGGGGGGCGCCCTGCCCACCCTGAATCCAGGGGGTCCCTTCTGTGGTTATACTTCGGGTCACGCCGGTCTCGGGGTGTCACTCTCCAGCCCCCATCCCACCCCTGAAAGGGCCATGACTGAGGAAGAGAGAAGCCCTCCCCTCCTGGGCTGACAGACCCCAGGAAGTCTTGCTGTCCCAACCCTGTTCCAGCTCAGGGCTCACTCAGGTGCCATGCCCGGTGGCGGACCCCAAAGGATCACCCTTGCTGCTGCCACACAGTCCTGCATTCCCCAAGCAGGGGACATCAGTGCTGAGCGCCCACTCCCCACCCAGGAGACGGGCGTGGCTGTGCAGACCCCAGGATCTGGGAGGAGCAGCCCTGACCCTCCACTCACTCCCCCTCTTCCTTGGCCCATCATGTCACCAATTCTCCCGCCAACCTGAGTCCCACTGCGGTGCTTTATGCTGCTCTCTTGGGCCATCACGTCCTCTCCTCTATTCCCAACTTGGCCCTTGAGCCGTCCCCCAGGGCCGGCATCTCTACAAACCGGGACCCAGCATTCTCAGGGCCTGAAACTTCACCTTTAAAACCTTGTCACACCGACTGCAGGGAAGCCCCTACAGGAGAAGAAATGCACCAGGTGACAGTGTTGGTGACGGCAGCCACTGCTTGCCAGGGCCACTGCTGCAGGGTGAGTCACCCACTGGTGAAGGCGATATCCTCAGCCCTGTCCTTTTCCTGTTTTTCTTTCTGGCGGCTGGCCAGCACGGGGATCTAAACCCTTGACCTTGGTGTTACCAACACCTCGCTCTAACCACCTGAGCTCACCATCACCAGCCCCTGCCCCATTCTTCAGGCAGGGAAACCGAGACCTCAATGAACTTGTGAAGAGTCAACAACTGATAAGTAACAGCCTGGCCGCAGAAGCACCTTTGTTGCAAGGCTGGCCCCGTCCACAGCGTTCCAGTGATGCCCGGTCAGACGTCAGGGAACGGTGCGTGTTGGCAAAAGTCTAGGGGCCTCCCTGGCCCAGCTATGGGAGGCTCGGGGCAGTCTCTGGAAGCAGGTCAAGGAGGTCTCAGGACAGGCAGCTGGGCTTGGGGCTGAGCCTCCATGGGAGTCCAGCACTCAGAAAGAAGCGTCCCGGTCGTGGGCTCTGGCTGCAGGGCCCCAGTGACTACAGCTCTGCCACGTGGGCCCCTAGGCAGGTGACCCCTCCCCAGGGATTTTGGCCCAGAGCACACCCTCATTCTTCCAATTCTGGAGTTCCAGATTCATAGGAACAAGACAGGAACACATCATTTCAGAGCTGGCTCAGGCACAGGGGACACCTCTTGACATGCTCAGACGGGTTTGTTGTCATATGCAGTCAGGGGCTCGCAAGATCCTCCAGGACCTGCATGCGTGCTCGAGCTGTGGGCACATTCTCAGGCCACGCTGAGATGCTCACTGTCACCATGGCACAGGGGACACCTCTTGACATGCTCAGACGGGTTTGTTGTCATATGCAGTCAGGGGCTCCCAAGATCCTCCAGGACCTGCATGCGTGGTCGAGCTGTGGGCACATTCTCAGGCCACGCTGAGATGCTCACTGTCACCACCCCTGACCTGCAGAGAAGTTTGCAGCATCGACAGGCTGAGAGCCTATATCTCCAGCCCTGAAACGAGCATAAAAGCTCACCTTCCCCAGCCACAGTAAGGCAGAACACCCCACGGCCAGGTCCTGGGTGGGCAGAAGTGGGCATGGGGCCCACATGGCATGTCCCCATCACTGCAAAGTGTCCAGCCGCCCCAGCTGGTTGACCAGGAGCCACTGTGGACCAGAACCTGATGCCTCGTTTTTCACTTAAATGAGTCTGCTGTTAAATTAAGATTTTTAATATATAAGTTGATTAAAATCTATCATCTCTGGAAGCAATTAGGGAAAAGGACTTTGTCCCTTTTTAAAAAATGAACAAAAGCTTCAGAGGCCCCCGGCAAGGGCAGGAGGGAGAGGAGCAGAGGCGGACACTGGGCCAGCCTGGAACATAAACCCAACAAGACCCTGGCTCCAGACGGCCGTCCAGCCCCTCGCCACGGGCAGTGTGTTTGCCCTGCCCTGTGAGAGCAGACGGAGCTGCACGGGAGACGCGTGGCACACCACCAGGTGTCACTCGGGGCCGTGGTCTGAGCTGGGAGCTGTCACCAGTCCACTGATGGGACATCAAGGCTCAGGGAGGCCTGGGGACTTGCCCGAGGCTCTGTGCTGGCCAACAGCCATGAAGGGACTCAAACCAGCCGTAACTGACCCCAAAACCTAGGTCCTCGGGCTGCCACACATTGTGGACCAGAACCACAGCAGGGAGGCCAGGGAGACCCCAGAACCCTAAAGCCTCAGCCCGTCCCCCTTGTCCCAGGCTGCCTGGAGGCAGAAGCCAGTGGAGCAAACCCCCATGGAGGGGTCCTCTCCACACGGAGCTGTCATCGCTGCTGCTGGCGGCTCCAGGTACATGACAGGGGCACTCACAACAAGACACACAGGATCGTGTGGACGCTGCACTGCCCACTGGCTTCCTATCAGACTCGGAAGCTTGTGTTTTAGGGGAGCTGACCCCAGCGATGGCCCCGACCCGTCCCCATCAGAGACGTCTCCATGCGGCAGTAAAAGCATCCGATGGAAGCCAGGCAGAAAACTCCACGTCTAGTGCCCAGCAGCTCCAGAGTGGGCCGTGCCAGCCTTATGGACCTCCTTTAAATCCATGCTTCCCTGGTTGTCTGGGCCCAAGTTTTGGTGGACGAGGGGCAAGCAGAGTGGTCTCAACCCCACTGTCCTTGCCCCGCCAGGACCCAGCCCACTAGCCACAGCATGGCTGTGCTGGCCGCTGTCCCAGGCTGGCAGCCGTCCCCACCCAGCAAACTTCTACTTATCCGTCAGGACCCTACCACCACCTCCACCTTGGTGCCACCTTCTCCTCCCCACCTCCTGCCCCCGGGCCCAGTAGGGCCAGATGGAAAAACAAGGAGACGGGTCAGTGGACCTCTGGGGAGAGTCCTGTGCAAAGTGTGGTGGAGGCGGCACCGGGCACCCACCCCCACCCCAGCTCTGAGCTCCTGGGACGGGTCTCCTCCTCCCCACACCCCAGCATCCAGCCCAGAGCCCTGGCCCGCACCAAGCCCTGCACACAGCTGTAACCACAAGCCTGGACAGAGGTGTTTCCGTTCATCTGGGCAGAAGGCAACCACAGCCATTTACAGCAAGTGGGACAGCCATTTCTGGGGAAGGAGAGGAAAACTTTCATGAAGGACCTGGAAGGGCCAGGGCCGCGGGATGCACTGCACACCTGGCCTCACCGCATCCTCACAGAAACACAACTTGAAAGACGGAGACCCTGATGCCCAGAGAGGTGACAGCTAAGGCTGCCCAGCAAGTGAATGGCAGGGCCAAATTCCACTGAGAATCCCCATGGTTCCCAAGCCCAGTCTTGCGGGCCCCATGGTGAGGCCTCTGCCGAGGTGACAGCTAAGGCTGCCCAGCAAGTGAATGGCAGGGCCAAATTCCACTGAGAATCCCCTTGGTTCCCAAGCCCAGTCTTGCGGGCCCCATGGTGAGGCCTCTGCAGAGGGGCACTCTCTTCCCCCTGAGTCTGGAAGGACACTCAAGGGCCTGAGCCCTCGCTCACCCACCCAACTGCAGACCAGACGGCAGCAGCTGCACACAGCCCCCTCCAGCCCTGGGGGCAGCTCCAGACGGAGAGGAACCAGGCCGGGACCCGGCTGTAGTGAGTCAAACAGCGACCCCCAAATGCATGTCCACCCGGAGCCTCAGAATGTGACCTTATTTGGAAACAGGGTCTGTGCAGATGCAATCCAGGTAAGGATCAAGATGAGATCAGACTGGACTGGGATGGCCCTAGATCCAAGGCGGTGTCCTCATAAGACACAGAAAGGGAGACACAGTCACACAGGAAGGCCATGGGAAGATGGAGGCAGAGATAGAGTGATGTCACCAGAAGCTGAGGACACTCTGGGGCCACCAGCAGCTGCAGGAGGCAGGAAGGACCCTCCCCTAGAGCCTCTGCAGGGAGCACAGCCCTGTGACCCCTGGATGTCTGCCCAGTGAGACTAATTTTGAACTCTGTTGCTTGCGGTCATTTGTTACGGCCACCTCAGGACACTCACATACACCCTTCATCC